CTGCAGCGCCGGTGTCTCGCCCGATACCGAGGGCGGCATCAGTTGAATCTTCAGCGGTTCCTTCTCCAGCACGGGCCGCACTTCGGGACGAGGGGCCATCGGGGGTTGTGTGCCCTAGAGCGGATTCGCCATCAGATGGGGAGGAGGAGAGGACATTGATAAGGCGTAGGGTCGTGTTCACGCCGGCTCCTCCTGCGGTAATTAATTTGGACCCCCCCCGGCGGATGCGGAGCGGAGTGTGGCTGCGGCGCCTGACCCTGAGGGTGGACACGCAATGGGGGTTGCCCCGGTTGGCTTATGCCATGATGATGCCGTCGCTTCGGCGACTCAATTGGTGGTTCCAGTCGCTGAGACGGGAGGTAGTTCCTCAGCGGCTGCTAATGTTGGTGAGGCAAGCGCTCCTTCGGTGGCTACGGCGGGTGGTTCTACCTCGCTGGTGGCGGAAGGAGGAAGGGATGCTGTAGGAGATGAGTACGAGTCTGAATCCGACTTGGACCCCGACGACGTCCGTATGTTCCAGGAAGGCTTCACCAATTCAGCGGTAGGCGCAGAGGGGCGGTCTCGCTTCGTCGAGGTTCCCACGGAGCTGAACTTATTGCTCCAAGGGAGTAGCTTGGTCTCGCAGTTTGAGCTGCTATGCTCGGAGGCCGAGAATGCATCGTTGAGGGACGTTACGGATATCGGACTGATGAATGAAGTGGCCGTGATGGGCTTGAGGGTATGTACTATTACGTCGGTTCGCTTCTTTTTTGTCTTAGTTTGTTCTTTATCTTAATCGTTGTCTTTGCTTTGCAGTCTTATTTGTTGGAGGTGGAGAGCATCCGTCGTGCCAAAATCCGCTCGGAGATATTTTTGCGGGCGCTGGCGAAGAAGAAGCCCCCTTTTCTAGGGTTTCCTCTCTTGGTATTTATAGCTGTGAGCTTCGTGAGCTGGCAATAAGTGGCCGTGACCACGTTGGGATTTTGCCTTCATGGTGACGGATGGGCCATGACCTTGTTGATCGAATCAGATGCGGGTTGAATATCGTTAATTCTGAGTGGTCGTGCCACTAATTAATCATGAATTAGCTTAAGACGTGATTAGCTTCGTTAATTATCGTGGGGTCGGATTCTGACCCATACAATAATGTCCATTTTACAGGCTACAATACCTAGTGCTGCTAAATTGAAACATAAACTCCTCCATTTCAATTTCAATTTATGTAAACCTGTTTGATTGGGTATAGAGTTTAAGAAATAAAGAAGTCTCTAAGAATTTGTGGTCCTAAACAAGTTAAAAAGGGGTTTAGAGTATTTATGTTATTATAAAAGCTTCTCATTAAGGATAAAATTGTAAGTTTATACTACTCCCTCCGGTCCAAAATAAGTGATTTTTTGGATGTTTTCACACAGATTAATAAATCTACCTTTTAGCATTAATTAGCAATGGAATTGACCATATTAACCTTTACTATCTCACATAAACACTCCTGACACATATTCCAACACTATTTACTCCAAGGACAATGTAGGAAGAAAGTAATTAATTTATTCTTGAAATCTGGAAAAATCACTTATTTTGGACCACAAGAAAAAGGCTAAAAAATCACTTATTTTGGACCGGAGGGAGTAAATAGTTTCTAAATTTAGAAAGGGATTATTCTTTTTAGAATGGATAAAAAAAAAAGCTCACATAAACGGAAACAGAGGAAAGTATCAAATTATTTTTCTCATTTTCTTTCATTCACATGGGTCACTTTTCTCCGGCAACAGCAGCTGCTGTTGAAATTCAGTTCAATAATACAACTCTGTTCAAATACCGAGCCTAGGAATTCTTTTTCTCCCTTTACATCTTGACTTTCTAAATCTACTGCCTCATTGATCAATATTAGTGCAAATCCAAATCCCTTTACAATGGACCGACTTTATGGGCTATGAATTTTGGTCCGACGACTTTAAACTAAATTTTACATTTAGTATTTATTTTCTATCGTTTTAATTTTATAAACTTATTTCCTTTTAAGTCATTATCAAAAAGAATAACTCATTTCCGATCCATATTTTAAAATTATTTTAGCTTTATATAATGATTTATAGTAATATAAAATATTTGTGCATTTTTACATTACAAGTTTAAATTTATTTTAAACTCTGTCCCCGATCAAATAGATTCATATGAGTTGAATCGGAGAAAGCACGTATTTAATAAATTTGCTAACATAAAATATATTATTTGGGAAAAATTAGTTGTGTTGTGTTAGTGGATAAGTAGTGTTGATTAGTTGTGAGTTGTTGTAAAAGGAAATTTGCAATAGAAAAATAGGAGATGGAATAGTGGATGTTGGGGTGTGAGGGGAATCCTTGAGCACCAAGAAAAACGCATGGGGAAAAGTGGAATAATTGTAAGTTTAGGGATTTGGAAAGAAGAAGAAGAAGAAGGGGAGAAGGCGACAGTATAATTGCGAATGTCGGGGTAGCGTGGGAAGCAATTACTGGCCCCCTCTACCCACTCATCCTTTCAAATATCAAATCGGTGCCGCTCTTTGTCCTTTTCCCCCAATTTCTCGATTCCTCCCTACATGGACCTTAGAAACTGTGGCACTAAAATTGGACAATATACATTAGTTGGATGTCGAATTTTACTTAACACATGAATTTTACCTTAAAAAAGTTTTAAAATTTATGAGTAATTTACTCGAAATATTTATCAGTTTCATTCAATACGACTGAAGTGTGGTATTTATAAATACTGATAGCTAAAGAGTCTAGAACCGAAGTAACATCAAATATAACTCGAAGAAGCAAAATAACATGAAAAAAAAAGGAAGAACAATTGTACCTGGGACGTGCTATACTCTTCCAGTCAAACGTTCCGGGCTAACGGACGTCTAACCAAGTATAATTGGGTATAGCTTATGACGCATGCCTACCATGCGCTATACTTGTCCATCCTTATTTAATCTCGGATTCGGCTAAGCTTGTATATATTTGCAATTTGCGAATGTTGAAATATTACTTGTGGCTAAGCAGAATCAAAATAGTTGAAGTTGAAATTGAAATTGAACACGAGTTTTCCCCGTAAAAGAAGAAGTTTGTGAATAGAGACAATATGTCTTATTGAAATAAACCTTAAAACTAGTATTTCTATATTATTTTGAAGTTCAAATATACTCAAATTACTATTTTACAGATACTAAAATTCAGTATTTGCAAGTAAAGAACTACTATGTTTAATTGTTTATGCTCAAAATGGACCTAATATTATGCACTTACTAATGATTTTTGAAGTGCTTAAATAAACTTGTACCATTGAAGAGAGAGAGAGAGAGAGAGAGCGCATTTGGTGACTCATTGAGTCCTATGTTTAATGCAGGAGAGAAGAAAATACAGTAAGACCAAAATGGTGCAAACATTAGTCTGACATTTATTTTTGTTTTCACTATCGTTTTCTTACAATTTTAGCCTGTCTTTGTTTCAGAATTACACACACAGATATGCTAAACAAACCCGGCACGCATTATGCCTGTCCCTCTTGTTTAATCCCAGAAATTGTATAACTCATCACTCATCTGATGTGATCTCAACTCACTCTGACTTGTGATTTTATGCAATTGTCACTTTCACCTGTTTCACTGCTGTAGTCTAATTAAACCATTTGGAAAGGAGTGACTTCAGTCCACTGCCTCACCTTTTTCTATTGCCTTATTTGTGTAAGAATATACTCCATATGATATGCTTTCTGGAGCATTCAATTGTTTTCTGCCATTTTGTAGAGATAAGTATATATTGTAAATTTAAACCCTCTATTCTAGTGAAAATCCTAGGTACACATATTCATTACCCCTATATTTGAAAATCAATTAATTCTTCTAAATCAGTCTAGATATCCCTATTTTATGCAAGATTTTTCATTGTGTGGTTGTTTAACTATTTGATCTTGAGATATAAGGGGATTTATCCTAATTAAGTTGAAACAATTAAAAGAAAACTCTGTTTCTTTTTATTTCTCAATTACTTTACAAATGCTAACTATATTTGAAACGACAACCTAAAAGTGGATACAGGTAAGCCATATTAATAGCCCGTTTGGCCAAGCTGCAAAAATCAGCTTATTTTGAGAAGTGCTTTTTTTCAAAAGTGCTTTTCTCAAAAGTACTTTTGGTGAGAAGCAGTTTGTGTTTGGCTAATTATTTTGAAAAGCACTTCTGAGCAGCAATTAGTGTTTGGTCAAGCTTTAAAAAACTGCTTCTAAGTGTATTTTTCTCAAAAGTGCTTCTCAAAAAAGTGCTTTTGGAGAGAAGCTACTTTTTACTGCTTCTCTAAAACTGCTTCTGCTTCTCCTCAAAAGCACTTTTTTTCCTTCCAAAAGCTTGGCCAAACACCTCAATTTTTGGCCAAAAGTGCTTTTGACCAAAAAAAAGCACTTTTGGCCAAAAAGAAGCTTGGCCAAACAGGCTATAAGACACAGTCCGTAAACTCTCCGGCCATCAGCATGTGGCAAAATCTCAAAAAAAACAAATTCACACTAAATACTAGGCATACCTCTATCCTTCTCCACTTAAATACTAAGGATTTCTCCACTTAAATACTAAGGATTCAAATCCACGATGTCCGTCTAACTCACACATTATATGTTGCGCTCTTACCACTAGATCAAAGCCCTATAACCGATGGCATTGAGGTGCGATATTTCTTAGTTAAGTTTAACTGGATTTTTATGGTTTAAGCTCAAAAGTGTCTACTTTTGGCATAACGCCAGGATTCAAATCCATGACGTGCGTCTAACTCACACATCATATATTACGCTCTTACCACTAGATCAAAGCCCTAGATCAAAGCCCTATAACCTTGGGCATTGAGATGTGATATTTCTCAGTTAAGTTTAACTAGATTTTTTAGGGGAACCGTTAGTTTTATGGTTTAAAACCGTTATGTTTAGCAGTACATATTATGGACCAAAACCACTTTGATCATTTTCTCCGCCATTGGAAGTCCATCTCAGTGATCATTGATCCATAAGACTCAAGTCTGCAACTCTAGTATTATTATCATAGTGACTTTAATTGGATTAAGCTGGAACTAGAGAAGTTAAAGCAAGAGGTCTGCATTGATAACAAAAGCTATCAAACACAAACTAGCTTCCCTATTACAAAGTTGACAGTTGAAAATCTTAAGGCATCATTTTCTTGGCTTGATATTAGCTTGCATTGGATGAAGTTTATGAGTAGTAAGACCCATTGTTGCAACATTTTCTTGTTCTCCATCTTTTAGACTCCATTCAAACTCTTGTATCAATCTAGCAATAGTTGTGCAAGTAATTGTCATTGCTTGAAGAGCACCAGCACATACCCTTTTTCCACCTCCAAACGCCATCGTCTTCTGTAATTCCATTGGATCATACTTTCTCTCAAGAAATCTCTCAGGCTTCCACTCTTCCGGACTCTCCCACACTCTCTTGTCCCTATTGCAACCGTATATATTTATAGCGATCTGCATATACAATGTGTATAAATAATTTAGATTATCTGATAATAAGAAATGCAAGGTAAGGCTGCGTACAATAGACCCTTCCTTCCCCGCGCATAGCGGGAGCTTAGTGCACTCAGCTACCCTTTATCTGATAATAAGAAAGGAAAAATTCACAAGTACTATGAAAAGGCTAATTACCTCAGCTCCTTTAGGAACATGGTACCCTCCTAGCTGTGTGTCTTCGTGGACGTATCTTAAAGGAACTATAGGTACAGGACTATGTTTTCTCAAGGTTTCGTGAAAAACAGCACATAGGTACGGAAGTTGGCAAAGTTTCTCTTCTGTGATCTTGTTAGATCCACAAACATTTTGTATTTCCAAAAAGAGTTGTTCCTATGTGATTAACAGTCGTGAGATACAACTAACTTTGGAGAAAAACAAGGCAGGAATTAAAAAAAATGGCGAGATTATGATACTACCTGCCGTTTTGGATCTTTGGCCAATTCATACATAGCCCATTCTGTGCTCACTACTGTGGTGTCTGATGATTCAATAATTGCCTCCCAAAGCAACATTAGGATTTCCTTCTCTGCTAATGTATTGGCTTCAGACAACAAGTAGTCAATATAACTGTTCAGTTCCTGTATATACATTCCGCCGAGTTAGAAAATTAGCCAAGGACCAAAACATAATTACTGGAGTGGTATATTTATATGCTTAAAAGGAAGAGCAAGATCACCTCTCCTGAATTAATACGTTTTCGTTGCTCCATAATTAGGGCCTTCATCACGGCTTCCCTGCGCAGATGTTTTCGCTGAATTCTGTTCTCAAAGCTTTTATTAGGAACCCATTTTAGATAGGGGAAGAAATCTCTCCAGTCCACATCAATTGCACCCTCCATTATGTCAAGTACTAAAGTCTTCAGTACGTCCTCTCTTGGTAATGTGGCATCGAGTTCCTCCACATAAATAGACTCGATATCCTTTCCCAAAGCCTGCAAATAAAGTTAAATGTTTCAAATAATTGAGCAGATTAAAAGAATTGCCAAAACCACAACTTAGTAGTGAAACTGAGTTTGAAAAACTCACTTGTTTCAATGCCAAACCAAAAAGCTCTGACTGGAATATCTTCCTGAGATTTACTGCTTCATGAGGATACTTCCTAACCAAATCATGCAGTTCCTTAGACACATTTTCTACTAAGGTGTCCCTGTGGATACGGTGGCGTTTCTGCAGATTAAGCATAACTTCCCGTTAGAAATCTAGTATACGAATCAAAAGAAGAGAACCAAATGATAATGCAAAATAATGAAATGTGGAGGCCAATTTCTAAATGACAAACCTGAGCATTTGGTCCTAGAACACTGGTCAGTACGTGTCGCTTCACTGTCTTGTGGAACTCATCATAATCACTTATTGCGACTATACTCTTGTCACAAGTAAGGATTTTCAATGCGTTTGTCAGCTTTCTTGTTGAGATGGCCGAATATCTAGTCACCATAGCCTAAAAAGATGAACAAGCACAACAACAAAATTTCAAACAAAAAAGAAAGTATTGTATCATGTATTGTGAGTATTGATATGATAAGCCACACAAATAACACAACAATGATTTAAACGACAAGTATCAAGCATGGCTATGTATTGGTTTATACCTCAACATATTGGTGACATCACCACTGTATTGTCGAAATTGCTAAGCTACTATATCGACAGTACAGTGGTGATACTGTCCATATAGTAGTTTAGCAATATTACTGTACTTACCTGTATATTGTTCTAAGTATCAGATACTTTGGTGTTGATTCTTCTTTGAAATGATAAATGACTACGATACCTTGAGCATATAATGCTCTTGTGTTTTATCTCAAGTTCCTCTAGCGAGGAAACTAGTGCTTAATACTTACCTTAAGCTCTGTGCAAATAATGTGCAATTAGCTGTCTAACGGTAACATATGTTTAGAAGGATCTTTATATTCTCTGTATTTTCTCTGATATTCAGACATTTATAAAGCATCAACCATCTGTATAGTGAAAAATGGAATTTGTGCTGATACACCACCAATATATGCCACAACTGAGGTTGGTAGCTGACACTCTTTTATCATAAATTGTAGACTAGTATTGTGACTTAGAACCACAAAACAAGAAGATTTTCCATCAGAACAGTTGGAGGCCTTTTCAGAGACAAACCAACATATAATCCAGGGATATATAAAAACCAATTATGGAAATCGCAGTTGTCTAAACCACCAACTACTTCACCTTCTTAGTATAGCCTAGTCTTTACAAAGAGGAACAAGGGAATAAATTCCGTTTAGCGATTATGTAGAGGCTGTGGACACTTGCTTTAGGTTAGATCCTATAGGGTAAGTGGAAATACAGCTATGTTCTTATAAAAAAGAAACAAAACTATATATTACTGAAACCTAATCTGGTGCAGTTGCAGCTATTGGGAAATTTTGGGACTCATTTACAGCATTAATCAGATAATAAGTTTCATCACCCGATTCGGTCAGACTGAAGTAAAATATTTCTAACTATCACTACTTATTACAAAAGAAACATGTCCAGTTCCTACTAAATGGTGTGGTCTTGAAGGACCAGGTTTTGCTTTCTATGTTTTTCTCCATCAGCCACTCTACTTTTTCTGCTTACCATTTTTACTAATCGTGGCGATATCTCATTTATTATCTTCTAGCTAAGTAAACTTGAAATACCACATTGATTCATTTCATGACTTAAAAGCAAAGACTAGGAGGACATAAAACTTTCTGACATCATTACCGAAATTAACAAGAAGAAGCTATAAAGCTACTGAGAAATAGATAATGAGCAAACAAAGAGGTCTCAGCCATGACTTGTCTTCAGTTTGAACCCTAACTTATTAACACATAAAGATGTTTGAGAGTGACTATTTGGATTACCTCCTTGGCAAGCTCATTAGTATTGAGGACAACAATTGTATTGGCGCCGGCTTTGATGGAATAGATTGGTCCATAGGTTTCAGCCCAATTTGTAAATGTCTTGTGGGGTTTTTTCTCAGTAAGCTGTAGTAAATTCCCAATCACTGGTAATCCTGGAACCTCTGCACCAAATTCACACATATTTCTCATCAGCATTTACCTATCTACATGTTATATATGTTACAGCTAACTCTGTTATACATATTGTATCATTTAACTTCAATCCAGATAATCAGAGGCAGATGCAGCCTTTGTACAATGGATTCAACTGATTCTAGAATTTTCGACACGGAACATAGATGTAAAACACCACTAAAACCTCAACAAATATCAAATTAAGAACCCATAATTTTAAAAGTACAATAAGTTAGTCTAAGAAGCTTAAAGATGGAACATATTAAGCTCCCGTTTGGTCATAGATTGTGGCAACTTTTTTTCATTTTTTTGGAAAACATTGCTTGTTCATGGAATATGATCAGTTTTTGAAAAAAAAGTGAATTTTTTTTTCAAGTTCCCAAATCTGGTTAAGGACAGTTTTTGGGAGAAATTTTTCTTACGCTCACAAAACTTAACATTTTTTCAAATAAAATGCATGTTCAAACACAATTTCTAACTTCCAAAAATTATTTTTCAACACAAACTTCAAAATCTCTTTTTTTCAAGTTCCAACCAAATCTATGTCCAAACGCTAGCTAAATTTAAATCTTGGATTCACATCTGCAGATAACAGAATGAAATGAAATTTATCACACAAGATTCAGAAGAAGTGGAAATACCTGGCAAAGGTGGAAGAAAATTAGAAGATTTCTTCTTTTGATCATTAACATACTCTTTAAGAAACCATAGTGAAATCCCACCAAGAGCAACTGCTGGACCACCTATTGTAATAGCAGTTCCTAACGGCACTGTTTGAAGATTCAAAATTGCATCCATGTACTCTACTTCTGTTCTCAAAAAACCACAAGAATAGCAGGAGAAATGAAAATCTACAAGCTGAAATCTGAAAGTATAAAGAGAATAGTAACAAGAAGCAGAGTAAAGTTGGTAAATACGGCTATGCATGGAATAACAAGTGTCAATATAAACAAGAAAGTTCTTACCTTCTGGAACTTGATGCCCCCCAGAAACTGATGAACAAGAAGACAGAGAGAAGGGTTTTTGTCGTATACTTAACTTGAGTTATGGATCGAATAATACCAATCTTATTAATTATCATAAAAGTTGCAGTATTTGGAGGTTTCTTTACAGGTATAGCAATCAAATAAAGGTAAAAACAGAGACCATCTTGGACGATCATTGTTGTTGGTGGTGGGTGTTTGGACTGGCTAGACATGTTCTGGAGTCCGAAACTTTTTTAATGGTTTTTTTTTTTTTGACAAAAAATACGTTTTTACTATTAAAAATAAGGTTACATAACTACCTAATTTGCAGTATAGTATTGCGAATTAGTTAAAAAAATAGTAATTCGCGGTATAGTACTGCATATTGTTAAAAAATTATTTTTTTTAACTAATTCGCATTACAATACTGCGAATTACTTAATCGCAGTACTGTTGGCACTAAAAATTATAAAGAGACCCATTTACAGAAAATGAGAAGTTTGGGCTCAGAGAGAGAAGAGAAGCTTATGCTATCAGACCAAACAAATGAAATAAAGCAAAGATACAAAGATTCAATCTCTAAGCCTCTTACACGTATGAATGCACAAACCAATCAGAGCCCTCCATTACAAAATAAGGGATTTAATCTGCCACCTACACGTGTTAATTTGAGCACAGATGGTTTACACAATAGGAAGAAACCAGAACCTTCTAGAACCAGATTAGCTGGATAATAATATTGTAAATATATTTTTCATTTTTTATTCTTTCATCAGTTTGTTAGGCCTAGCTGAATAAGAGAAGAACACGTGGAGAAAATTAGTTACAGAGATTCTTCTCTTTGTTGTATATAACGGGACATTGTACAGATACAGGATTCATTCAAGAGAAAAGGCAAATCTTTCTTTACATCTCTTCATGGTATCAGAGCGATAGATATCTAATCTCCTAAAATTCCATCTTCTTCTCAGTCATTTGTTTCTTCATGGCACCAAACTCTTCAGATGATAACTCAGGAGTTTCTGCTACTCCATCCATCACTGCTACTCCAACCTTCACTCAGCCAGCCCTAGAAATTACTGATTCCACCCACCCCTGTTATCTCCATTCTTCAGACTCACCAGGAATGGTGCTTGTCAACTCAGTATTTGATGGAAAGGGGTATGGAGGATGGCGTAGAGCTATTGTCATTGCACTCTCAGCTAAAAATAAGCTAGGCTTCATTGATGGAAGTTGTGCTGAACCCGATCCATCTTCAAATCTGTTTAAACCATGGAATCGTTGCAACGACATGGTCATCTCATGGTTATTGAACTCGCTCTCGAAGGATATAGCAGAGAGTGTTCTTTACTCCAAAACAGCAAAAGACATCTGGAAAGAACTTGAAGTCAGATTTGGGCAATGCAATGGTGCTCAACTCTATCAATTGGAAAAAGAATTGAGTGACCTTGTGCAAGGAACATCTGATGTAGCAGGTTACTACACCAAAGTGAAAAGAATTTGGGATGAGTTAGACACTTTGAATACCTGCGTTCACTGCACATGTGAGTGCACTTGTGGAGGTAAAACAAGGACTATGAAATCTCTTCAAGATGGTCGCCTGATCCAATTTTTAATGGGACTCAATGAAGCCTACTCTGCTGTGAGAAGTAATATTCTGATGATCTCACCCCTTCCCAGTATTAATCAAGCTTACTCCCTGCTTATTCAAGATGAGAAGCAGAGGGAGATCCATGTAGAACAACATCCAGTTGAGTCTGCCTTCCTAGTGCAAAACCAGCAGCCAAACTATCAGAGATATGGAAACAATGAAGGCAAGTTCAAAACAACTTTTGAAAGCAAGAAAAACAATCAGGTCTGTAATTACTGCAAGAAGCCTGGACATACAATTGACAAATGCTATAGGATCATTGGTTTCCCCTCAACTTTCAAGTTTACTAAATCCAAGAGGTACCAAGGAGGAGCACACAACAATGCTGCAGTTGTAGTTGACGAGAGTGGAACTCAATCAATCATAGGAATGGAAGGTAATTCAACAGGAAAAACAGTAACACGAGAGCAATTTTCTCAGCTTTTTCAACTGCTTCAACAAGTGAAGATTGGGCAACAGGGTGAACAAACCTCTGAAGCAAATGTTTCTTCCAATTGTGTTGGTACAACTGAACTATTTGTAAACTGTTTCTCTTATTTTCCTCATTTAAACTGCCTCTCATGTTTTTCTCACAGCAATTCTAACTCCTGGATTCTAGACTCAGGAGCCTCAGAGCATATGACTTTTGATTATTCACTTTTGTTCAACATCAAACCTTTAACTAAATCTGTATATGTTAATCTTCCAAACTCCTATAGAGTAAAGGTCAGTCAAACAGGAAGTGTGCATGTTCTGCCAGATTTAACCATACATAATGTGTTGTTTGTTCCAGATTTTAAATTCAATCTTTTATCAGTCCACAAACTTACCAAACAGCTTCAATGTCTCTTACTTTTTTCATATTTTGGTGCAATATTGCAGGCCCCTTCAATGAAGAGGCCAGTGGTAGTTGGTGAAGTCAAGAAAGGTCTCTACATCCTCAATTCTGCCTCTATCAGTTCTGGTCTAGATTCAGGGAACCAACCACCTTTTCAGTCTTATTCTGCTTGTAATAATCTTAGGGAAGACACTGTCTCCTATTTAGTTTCTTGTTCTTCTAGAGTCAACTCTAATGTAAGCCTATGGCACAGAAGGTTGGGGCATAAGCCTTTATCTAGTATGCAAAACATATCACAATTTCAATTCAAATATTTGTCTTCTTTTAATGATCCCTGTGATGTTTGTTCTCAAGCCAGGCAGGCTAAATTGCCATTTCATTCTAGCAGTATTACCACAAAATCTATTTTTGAACTTATTCACATTGACACTTGGGGACCCTATAAGGTTGATACCCATGAAGGGTATAGGTATTTCCTTACTATAGTGGATGATTATAGCAGGGGAACATGGACCTATTTGTTAAGAACTAAGAGCAATGCTTTCTCTGTTCTGCAATCTTTTCTTGCCTTAGTAGAAAGGCAGTTTAACACTAAAGTAAAGGTCATTCGTTCAGACAATGCTTTAGAATTAGGTACCAGTTTCACTGCATCCAATTTTTTATCCTCTCAGGGCATTTTGCATCAAACTTCTTGTGTTTCAACACCACAACAAAATGGAGTCGTCGAACGGAAACATAAACACCTTCTTGAAACATGCAGAGCTTTATTATTTCAATCAAAATTGCCTATTGAATATTGGGGGGACTGTTTGCTAACTGCTATATTTCTCATCAATAGATTCCCATCTAGGGTTCTCAAGTTCAAATCTCCCTATGAAATTTTATTTGGGAAAGCTCCATCCTATGATTTTCTTAAATGTTTTGGTTGTCTTTGTTATGCCTCTACTCTTTCTCATCTTAGATCTAAACTTGAGCCTAGAGCAGTGAAATGTGTTTTCCTAGGCTATCCTTTTGGGAAGAAAGGTTATAAGCTTTTAGCTTTGACCTCTAGGAAAATTTTTGTTTCAAGGGATGTAGTATTTTATGAGGATATCTTTCCTTTTCATTCTGTAACTCCAGAAACACCTATTTTTCCTATTGAAACTACTTCACTTAATGATTCTGATCAGCCTGTCCCTATCCCTAGTCAATTCTTCTCCTTTTCCTAGTCTTTCAAATATTTCCACCTCTTCTTCCCCTTCCCCTAGTAAATCCATTACTCCTGTTGCACCTTCAGTTAGTTCAAACACACCTTCACCTTTTATTCCAACTCTTGTACCTGTAGCTTTAAGGAGATCCACTAGAGAACACAACCAACCACCCTATCTGGCTGATTATGTATGCAATGCTGTACATTTGACTGATCTAACATCTTCTTGTTTTGCAGCTCCCATTACTCCTACTATTTTACCTTTTTCAGCTCTTTCATCTACCAATCAAAGCCTTTTACATTCTATGTCCCATATCACTGAACCAACCAGTTACACTCAGGCAGCTGTCCATCCCAGTTGGCAGGAAGCCATGGCTACGGAATTTGAAGCCCTAGAGGCCAATCAAACTTGGGAAGTGGTTGAATTACCTAAGGGGAAGAAACCTCTGCCTTGTAAATGGATTTACAAGGTAAAATACAGGTCTGATGGGAGTATAGAACGTTTCAAAGCCAGACTTGTTATTAGAGGAGACATTCAAAGAGCAGGAATAGACTTCACCGAGACATTCTCCCCTGTGGTTAAAATGACCACAGTCAGGTGTCTTCTCACAATTGCTATGAAAAAGAATTGGAAACTTTTTCAATTAGACGTCAATAACGCATTTTTACATGGAGACCTACATGAGGAAGTCTACATGCAATTTCCAGCTGGTATGATTCCACCTAGTCCTAATCATGTTTGCAGGTTGAAGAAATCATTATATGGTCTAAAACAGGCTTCACGTCAGTGGTATGCAAGGCTCACTGGTGCACTCAATTTCAAGGGTTATTCTCACTCGCTTAATGATTACTCCCTATTTTTTAAGAAAACAGATTCTGGTATTACCACTGTCGCAGTATATGTCGATGATATTCTTTTCACAGGGGATGATCTTATTGAGCAAAACTCTCTCAAGTCTTTTCTTAACTCAGAATTCAGAATTAAAGATCTTGGTGAAGCAAGTTATTTTCTTGGACTTGAAATTATCAGAGAAAAAGGTGGAATGATTGTAAGCCAGAAAAAGTTTACCTTAGAGTTATTATCTGAATTTGGATGCTTTGATTTACCACCAGCCTCTTCTCCACTCGATCCATCCTCAAAGCTTAGGGGAGATGTTGGTGAGCTTCTACTGGATCCAACTGTATATCGCCGTCTACTGGGAAAGCTTAATTTTTTAACTAATACCAGGCCAGATCTTTCATTTGCCGTCCAACACCTCAGTCAGTACATGCAGAGTCCTCGCCGACCTCATTTTGATGCAGCCATTCATTGTCTCAGATATCTACTTTCTACTCCTGATATAGGACTCTTCCTCAACTCGGATCCTTCACTACAATTATTGGCATTTTGTGACTCCGATTGGGCTTCTTGCCCTGATTCCCGCGGTCAGTTAGTGGGTTCTACATCAGTCTCGGCAATTCTCCCATTTTCTGGAAGTCCAAGAAACAATCTTTGATATCTCTTTCATCCGCTGAGGCCGAATATCGATCTATGAGGCGTGTCGTAGCT